GTAGTCGCGCCTACCCGAGGAATCGCGATAAAACACTCTCGCTTTCTCTGCACCAGATTGTGTATTCGCAGATTCGTCCGCGTCCCTTCCGGTTCTCGTTTCTTTGTTTCCCGATATAGCCACGAGGGAACCCAGCGTAAAACAGTGCATTTCATAAAACCAATATAAAAATGCGGAGGTGTTTGCCACTACGTGGAGCTAGCAGCCGCCTGATTCGAGGGTTTTTATAATATCATCTATCCATCCATCCGTATACAGATCTCACAAAAAGAAAAAAAAAATTATTGCGTTGAACGTTTTTTTTTTTGTTTTTTTTTTTTTTTTTAATGAAACCCCTTAATCCGAAAAAGGCTTGATCGTTCTTCCATTTCCCCGCTAAATTTAGCTCGGAAATTGATTTAACGTGACCTCACCTGACCCCACACATGTGCAGTTTACTAAAAAAAGTAATTAGGTTAAGTTACTGAGTGTTCACCTGAAAAGTAATTGAAGTAGAGTAGAAATTACTCAAATGGAGACTAACGGAGTAAATGACTAACTACCGTAAAAAAGTAGCGAATTACTTTTGAAGTTATATATATATATATATATATATTACGCTGTGTCTCTAAAGATGCGTCGGTCGTAGCCTGTGAATGGCCACCGGTCCGTCGGACGCACCGTACTTGCATTTACGACTAGGATAACAAAAAAAAAAAAAAAAAAAAAGGTTCGATCAACTGAAACTTGTTACAAATCAGTCCATTCCAATCAAGTTCGAGTCGCCGCAAGTTATCATCATCATCGCCCACAACAAAAAGTGTTACGATCACAAAGAGGCTGCATGTGCTTCGCGCGTGTGACCAACACCCCCGTGGGAAATTATTTTTCTATATATAGCAGACCTACAATAGGGTAGTCTCTATATTCTGGTATACATGGCTTGCACGTGACGCCAAAGCAATCCTCCTTGGTGGTGCTAGATTGCACTGGAAGCTGAGTTGGCTCCCTACTGAAAATTCTCATTTGTATAAGAAATTTCTTGTGTCCAATAAACACATATGAATCATACAAGATATATAAGAACATATAAGAACCGTATAAGAACCATATAAGAACTATATAAGAACTATATAAGATATATGAGAACACACAAGCACCATATGAGAAACTAGTGGGAACTTTCTTATAAGTTTCTTATGGGGTTCTTATATATCTTATATAATTCTTATATAGTTCTCATATAATTCTTATGTGGTTCTTATATGTTCTTGTATGTTCTTATATATCTTGTATGATTCATATGTGTTTAATGGACACAAGAAATTTCTCATACAAATGATTGTTTTTACTAGGGAGCTCGTTTCCAGTTTGTAGAATCAGTACAGCACGCCGGTTTTGCATTTCCAGGGTCATTAATGGGAAAAAACCGAAAGATGCTCGTCAGTGCTCGCTCCTTCTCGTTTTGGTTTTACGTGAGCAGGTGCATGTAAAGGAACGTTGCATCGTACAAGCTCGAAGATCGCTAGGCAGGAGCCGTGACCCGCCGATCCTTTGTCACACACTGCATGCTTTGCACGTCTGTACGAAACGAAACTTTGACCACCAGTAAAGGAAACGGCCAGAAACAGCACACGACGTTTTATGTCTCGTCAGTCTCGTACTCTCTTTCGAACATTGCTCTTGAAACTCGACAGACTCCGGTCCCGGGTTCGTCCAACGTATCTTTAGACTCTGGGATCCGCATACGTACGGCACTTTAGACTTCGGGTTCTGGGCACGTCCAATGTACCTTTAGACACAGCGATTTTTTTTTTCTTTTTTTTTTTTTTATGGTAACTAAGGTTTTGATCCGTTAGCAAAATTCTGCTAGCGTAATATAAAGCGGCTTGTGTTTTCACAGAAATGCTTTAATAGCTGGTTCTACTTCTGCGTGCATAATTTTTTTTTTTTGTCAGTGATGTACTGAGTAAGTAAAATTTTTAATTTAAGGTTTAACATTGGCTGGGAGCTTGATTTTGCAGACAGTGTTTGCTTGTTTACAGTGTTGCATAAAGTGGATCTAAAAAGTACTTGAATTAAAGCAAAAAGTAAATGAAAGGTTATGTACTTCAAGTAAAGTATAGTAAGTACCCCGGGTGCAATGTAATTGAAGTATGATAAATACAATGTACTTTCAAAATAAAGTACAAGTACTTTTTAACACAATATGTTATGATGTCCTTTCATCCCCTATGCACTGTTTTTGTTTTTAACTGGTATGCATTGCTTCAGGTGTAATCGGAGGTCCATCCGTTTTTTTCGGAAATGGCGACAAATATTGGATGAAGTCAAATCTCCACAGAGTATCTGTTTTACTCTCGATGACAAACTATTTAACGAAATAAACTTATAAGGCGCTTAATTCTATCGGCCTTATAGCCGCCATAAGTTCACTCAGGAAAATGACCAGATGACGTCTCAAAAGACGATAGTGCGTTTTCACATGAGGATTCGCCATTTTTTTCTTTTCAAATTTGGGGAATGTACTTTGAAGTCTGGAGCTGCATTTTCCTCGGAAAGTACCACAAAGAAATAATTGAGTAAAGAACAACTGCATGCTCAGAGAATGTACTTCGAGTAAAGTACAAGTTTTCTAAACCTACTTGAAGTAGTACTTTAAGTACTACTTCAAAACGTGTATTTTAAGCAGTACTCCGTCAAAGTAGTGCGTACATCCCAGCAGTGCTGGAATTTACTTGTATTTTCCAGCACTACTTGTTTATTATTTTTAACGTAAAAACATCGGGGGAATTACCAAGGTTTTCTCGAACGATCTTCGAATCTTGGAAGACCTGCATATGTTGAGTTTTGAAAGGCAACGCAGAGGAGTCACCTTTGTGTTGCCCCTGAGCACGCGATGCTTTTAGCACTGAAAGAAGAGTTAGGGCACAGGCCAGCTGCTGAATATTGAGCAACATAAGGAAACCGGAGACAGGGAACAAGAAGGACACAGATAACACCGTCCCTCACAACTCTCTTTTTATAGTAAACAACCCTCAGCCGACGCGAAAGTGAAAAAAAAAAAAGAACAAAAAAGCAATGCTAGTATTAGCAAAAAGAAGTCGATAAGTTCAGACGGTGTTATATGTGTCCTTCTTGTTCCGTGTCTCCGGTTTCATTATGATGCTTTAAGTACAGCACAAACTACGGGAGCACCAGGCGAGGTCCAGAGCGAGTGCTGCATTTGGTTTCCTCCCTTGATTGAGCATGCCGCGTGTAGTGGGCGAGAGTTCCCAAATTGGGCAGAGGCTGGGACAAGCCGTTTCGCAAGTCAAAGGAACGCCAGTCTTGGGCGCTAGTCCCGCAGTTCCTCGGCCCCATTTGGCGACGTGTAGCTGTCCGCTCCCCGCGCCTCGCAGCAGTGCTTTTGCAGTGTGGGGCTCGTGAAAACGTTGAGGGGTTGCGGACGCTCCAAACGCCCCGTTATTTCACACATGCTTACCCCTCTTTTGCAAATACCATCCAATCATCCAACGTCTTATCTTTTTTGTGTGTGTGTGCAGGAATGTTTGTTGATAAGCGAACCTACCACGAACATTCGAAGGTAATTTGTAACTTGAGTAGAAGTTACTCGAAAAAAGTAATTAAAGTAAACTACTAATTACCGAAAGAAAAATGTAATTGGAAGCTATGAACCTACTCAGAAAAGCATAGTTAAACTACAGTACCTTGGGAAGAGCATTGTTAGACTGCGTACTGACCTAAACACCGATTCAGTTTTTCGGTTGCGAGATGAATTGCGTCGCATTCTTATGCCGGGCTAGGAGGACGTAGCCTAGTACTGAAGAGGAACGTTAAAGAGATAAGATAACCAGAGAGAATTCTCTCAAACATGTTTACCTTCAAGAGGAACGTTGTGTCAAAGTGGCCAGAACCACAGACAATGGGAGGAACAAGGCGATTGCAATTAGGCTTCGTGTTTGATGTAGACCTGTCAGCCCAGAATATTCCCTAGTACAATTTTTAGTACAATATTTTGCGAGCATTACTCGTCCCATGGGGTGTGGGTGGAATGAAACCTTTTTTTTTTTATCTCGCAATTTTTTATATTCAACTTTTTTAGAAGAATTAGGACAAAGTGATGTTCGGCTAATGCAAACGGTCTTTCACCTTACGTTTAAGACCATCCAACTTGTTAGTATATGCGCAAGAAATTCTAGTATGAAAATGGTCTCATCCCTCCCACTCAAAACGTGCATTCCACGATCTAAGGCACTACTGGCACTAACATAAGCCACGACATGTTTCATGAGTTCCTGTGGCTCGCATTCTACTTAGCCCATAAGGTCCTGATAAAGGTTTTACTTGGAGCTGAGATTTATTAACTGTCCTTAACATGAGACGAAGGTAAGAGGCAAGATGTTTGTTTTGCAACCTGCTAGGAAACTGTGCCGTTTCACATAGCGTATAATGAAATGAGCGTAACTTTATGACAGGGAAAAAAACGGCGTGCGGCCTGTAGATTTAGCGCCAAAGTTAGATAAATTTAATGCGCGCTAAATAATGATTATTATAATATTATTAGTTATATTGTAAACAAGTAACCATGCGCGTTCTTCAGCCGCTCGCTACCTTTTTTTTTTTTTTTTTTTTCGGAGTTTATCCGTAGGACTAAATAAAATTAATTTTTCCCACCAGCAACAACAAATCCCCATACAACAACCCCCCTCCCCTTTCCCCCAGGAAGACATAGCTATTGGCTGCGTTCAAAATAAAACGGTTTAATCAATCTAATACAACATCACAAACAAAATGCCCTTAGTAAAAAAAAGATGGGCAACGTTAGTTTTGATAGGTCTTGCGGTATGAGACAAACGCAGCTACGTAGAGATCTTGACACCGAATCCTTCTGAGCGCTGTTAGTGTATCCTTCGCCACTGTACGTCTATCAGTTTCCAGCGAAGCTGGGGGTCACGATAGAAAAAAGACCTTCCTAATGGGCGACAAGACGGCCGCTCGAGTTGTTTGCTTGCCCGCAGGCATTCCGCGCGAGGGGTCCGATTAATCGCAGCGTCGAGCATCTGCTGAGCCGGGCCGTCCCTCGGAGTCCACACGCATGTCGTCCCTGGTGACATGGGCTGTTGCTGTTGCGGCGACGAAGGAACCAAGGTTCACTCGGTCGACGTAAGTTGTCGCCCCCCCCCCCCCCCCCCCCCCTTCCCCCTTTTTCGCACTGCTCTTGCTGACGAGAGAATTCTACGCGGACACACCCGATGCATGTTCGAATCACGCTCGCTTCATACGTTGGGATGCTTTGATCATGCATCTCAAAACCCTTTTCGTATGGCCAGTGCGACAGCATTCTCATCCAAGGAAGCTGTCTTTTGTAAGGTGTATTAGCAGGCTTTTGGAAGCGCCGGTGGGCCTTCGGCAACACCGCCTACGTACCAAGCTCGTACAGCGATGGATTTTCTACGTCACTCGATGGGGACGAGCGCGGGTCACGTATTGGACGCGAGGGCTGTTTCGAACGCTGACCTATAGCACTCCTGTCCAAATGTCTCGCGTTGGTCCTCACTTGGTGACGTATGAAATTCAGGGAAGCTTTTTGCCACATATCACGTGTCTGACATCCTCGAAATTATCTCTGTTGTTCATTTTCAGCGGTCTACAACGATCTACAACGATCTACAAAACTCCCTGAAGGGAGTTTTTGTAGATCGTTTTCGCCGTCCCGCAACGGGCTCTCCGCCAACCCGCGCCGATACCCGGAACTCTACAGTCTAGGTCACCGGCGCGCAGGCGCAGTAGCCGTTTCATCGTTGCGGAGGGCTTAGCGGAGGGGGAAACGCGGTCTACGAAAACTCCCTAACATTTCCTTCATTAGAAAATGTTCCGCTGCATAATCGCCAAGAAAAAGTCGAGCTTTTTCCCCCACCTGCAGCCCCGAGTGGCAGCCGAAGGAACTACGGCGAAGAGCTTACGTGACCTCGCTCGGCTCTAAGCTGTAGCTTAACGCCCGCTAACGTCAGCAGAGGGAGGTAAAGGAAGCGTCCTCCGAGAGAGCACACCAACAGCTACACGGCATCCCGATTTACGTCACCAAGAGGGGGACCGGGTGTGGCCCTGAAGACTGGGAGCGAGTTGAGGGCTGCCAGAAATGGCAATATTTATCTTTTTTTTTTACACAACAACTAGGGACACGCAGGCGAAATCTTTTCTCTGTTCTTTACTTCAGAAGGGTCGGAGGGCAACTTCCAGAAATCTTTCACTGAAGTCCGGAAATCATTGCACACCCTCTTTAAAGGGATACTGAATCGAAATTTCAACCTCACAAAACAAGGCCGGGCGGGAAGCTGCAAAACCAAAAAAAATATCACTCATACGGCGATATATCCACCGGATCGCCGTATTTTTTGGAAAAGAAGTGCGCGATTGAACCCGGCCGACGAGGCCGACGAGACAAGTCACGTCACGATTCCCATTCTCTCCCCTCCTCGCTACGTCCCGTCCAGCTGGTAAACCGAAGCGAGGAGGAGAGAAGCGAGGCCGCTTCTCCTCATTCTCAAATTCTCCCGGAGGACAGTTACGTCGAAGAACTCGCTTGATCGCGCCCTTCTTTTCCAAAAGTACGGCCATCCGTTTGAGATATCGATGTACGAGGGATGTTTTGGAGTTCGTAGCATCCCGTTCAACACTTCTGCAACCTTACTTTGAGAAATCCAAATTTCGGTTCAGTATCTCTTTAAAGACGGATGCAACGATTTCCGGACTTCAGTCAAACCTTTGTGGAAGTTATTACGCCACAGCCACAGCAACAGCCCACGTCACCGCACGCCGCTGAAAGACTAAAGAACAGAAAACCGATTTACCTGCGTGTCCCAGTTGTTGTGTAAAAAAAAAAAAGAAAAAAAAGATTGGAATTTCTGGCACCCTTCAACTCGCTCCCAGTCTTCAGGGTCACACCTGGTCCCCTTCCTAGTGACGTAATTCGAGGTGCCGTGTAGCTTTTGGTGTGCTCTCTCCGAGGACGCTTCCTCTCCCTGCCCCTGCCGAGATTAGCGGGCGTTGTGCTGCAGCTTAGAGCCTAGCGAGGTCACGTAAGCTCTTCGCCGTAGTTCCCTCGGCTGCCACTTGCGGCTGCAGGTGGGGGAAAAAGCTCGACTTTTGCTTGGCGATTATGCAGCGGAACATTTTCTAATGAAGGAGATGTTTTCTCTGTCCTCCGGGACACGATTAACAACGTAAGAATGACGAAATGCAAACTCTTTTAATACAGTGATGGAAGTGCTGCGCCAATTGCGCCAAATTGCGCCAAGGACGCAATCCTGCTACATGTAGCGCCAAATTGTCATTTTACCGAAGAATTGCGCCATGCCTGCGCCGAGATGAGATGTAGCAATAAAAAATAAAAATTGAAGTCTTATCGGAGCGCGTGGTGGTACCGCGGTATTTTCCGCGCCGCAACTGTTACGCAAACCGAAACTGCGATGGCGCATTATCATCATCATCATTGAAAGGAACAACGTTTGCAACATCTGAGACCAAAGCCGCAGAGGTTAAGCGAAGAACCATCCCACTGAACAGCCTATTTATATAAAAAAAAAAAAAAAAGGCAGAGCTTGTGGATGTTTTCAATGTTGGCCCGCCCTGTTCCCATGCGCTAGCTATCAGCGAAGTCAAAGCTAGCGCGAGCCCATTACTCTGTGCATTCCTGACTCGCGCGTAGGCTCGTGCAGTGTGGGCACCGTTAGGGCTCCATGCGCGCGCTTGTAGCTTCGGCTGCGCTCGCACCGAAGCTCAAACAAAGTATAGTTGAGTTGCACCAAACTTTGGATGTAGTGCTGGTAACGCCTCACCGTCCTTTTCGGAGCACAAAACACTGCGCGACTCGCGCGACTTGCGGTGTCTGCTCCGCGGGTGTCGCTTCTCTGCAGCGCGTCGGTGCATGCCAAGGAGCGCACTCAACGGGTTAACTCGCCGTGATCCGATGCGATCGTGACTTCGCCAGCGCATCGAAAATGAATCGGAATTTTTGAAGCGAATATCACATACCGCAATATTTGAAGCTGCTGCCCGAAAGACAACTCTAATCGGAACTAAAACATTCCACAACAGTGAGGGTCGTTAGATGCTGCTGCAGATACCTTAAAAGAAGTGCAGGCTGATAAAAATAAATATCCTGTACCATCAGAACTCAGTGTGACATATTTAATTGTATTTTGTTATCTGACGAGCAGATAAACTTTATTTTAAAAAAATGTTTTTTTTTTTGTGTTTACTTTGTTGAATTTTATATATCCTGTCTTAAAAGGCGACAGGCGCTGTGTTCCAATAATAGAGATGGGCTTTATATAGCAATTTAGCATGATTTCATTTTCAAGTAATATGCCAACATATGCCGGACCCTGCTCCAAAAGGGCCACTACCTGCTCCAAAACAACATTTTGCCTGCTACAAGGCCTGCTCCAAAAGGGCAAATGGCACTTCCATCGCTGTTAATATTAAAATCGTTGCCCCCCCCCCCCCCCCCCCCCCCCGGGCCGTCCTTTTAACGCCGGTAAATTTAGCAAAATATAGCGTGACTTTTGGGCTAGAAAAACAACGATACGTTCTTTGTCTCCCGGCTTCATCCGTTGAATTAAGATACTTCTTTTCTTAATTTTATTTGAAGTTACCAATATCATTGACTGCCCTCCTTACCCCCCCCCCCCCCCCCCCCCCCCCTCCCTCCTTCAATAATCTACGCTGCAGAGTCGCGTATTTGCCGGAAAAAGTAAAATCAATCCGAAGCCAGATGATCGACGCCGAGGAACGCGACATCAAAATTGGCAGTGGTTTCACTCCCTCCGACTTAGCTTTCGGGCTTCTTACGAATACGATTAGCATATACTTAGTGTTTCTTCGATGCTCATAGAACTGCGTTTTATTGGATCCATTGGTTCTTTTTTTATATATATATAAGGACGTTGCTCCCACAGCTCATTAATTATTTTATATTCCGAGTTCTGTGTCATCGTCGACCGTACAGAACGAGGTTCGATTTTGAGCAGAAATTAAAAAAAATAAATGTTTGTGAACAGGGGTTCCCACGTAGCACGAAAACGTTCTGAGAACATTCCGGGAATGTTCAAAATAACATAGACAACATTCTTGGAATGTTGAAGATTTACGTAAGAACATTCTATCAACGTTGTCAGAATGTGGCGCAGGCACTTATCGCTACATTCGGGGAATGTCTTCAAAGGGATATTCTTAGACCGTTCTGAGAACGACATAGAACATTACCAGGTCATTCAATCAACATTGAGACATCCTAACAAGGTTCTAAGAACGTTCTCAGTACATCCAAAGAACTTCTGCAACATTCTCTGAATGTTGCTAATTTACGTAAGAACATTCTATCGACGTTGTCAGAATGTGGCGCAGGCACTTATCGCTACATTCGGGGAATGTTTTCTAGTTGATATTTTTAGAACATTCTGAGCACGACAGAACATTTAATCACCATTCTAACAAGGTTTTAAGAACGTTCCCAAAACATCCATAGAACGTTTACCGATTCCACAATTATAGCTTGCTTACGTTACAGCCCCACTGAGCCGTACTACATATATTGATAAAATAAATCTCAAAGAGCGATCGATGTCTTTTAATCAAAATATATTTTTTCTAGGCCTAGTACAACCTAGCCACTTTACCAGCGCATTAGCCACAGCCTGTACTATAACGGCAGTTTACTCCTACTTATCAAAACGTGCGGCATACATAACCGATTACTCACTCGGAGCATCTACGGCATCCCACACTCAAGCGGGACACACCTTCTTCAAGGTATTGAATTCGAGATGCTAAAAATCGGGTCTATTCAAAACTGCTCCTCTACATACGCAGTGAGTGCAAAACTCATTATCAAATTTTGAAGACCATTGCTTTTCTCCTACACCTTATCTCACATTCCTCGGTACACTCGTACAAGATAAAACTGATCCCTTATGCTAAGTTTGCAAAACCTCCACTTAATTTGCATATTTTTGGCACAAGGTGGCATATAGTGGATGGTGTTTCGAAACACAGGTTGCTTGAAAGCTCCGTAAAGTTGGCTTCACCTGCGAAAATCCTAGAAATGTTCGGAAGCAAACATTCTAAGAATGTTGCACATATGAATGTTCAAAGGGGAACGTTCCGAGAACATTGTGCATACGAATGTTCGCCAACAAACGTTTCTAGAATGTTGAGCAGCTTACCTTGTAAGGAATGTTCTCATACGAACGTTCCTAGAACGTTCCGAATGGTGTTTAACGTTCCTTCAACATTCAGAACACCCAGGGAATGTTCGCACGACATTGAATGCTGGGTTGTAGTGCTGAAGTTCATTAGGGAGTTTTCGTAGATCGTTCCGTTACCTTCGATAACAATACCGATAACGATACACCCTAAAGAAAAGTGTGTAGCCCTCACCCCCCTTGTCACATGTACGACACCCCGAAACTCCAGTTTGACGTACAGTGCACTGCACGTCAAACTGACGGCCCCAACTTTTACGAGAGGCTTGATGACGGTGAGATATAAGTTTATAGAACATATTAAACAGCTAAGTATATATCCCAGTTTACAGAAGAAAAAAACACAGAGGTTTTGCGGTAGGACCAAAAAGACCACAATAACTTTTTCTGCAGTCAGTCACACTTCACTCGACTGTCAAGCCGCTCGTGAAATTTGGTAGCGTCGGTTGAACGCCAGTTCGCTGTACGTCCAACTAAAGTATTGGGGTGTCGTAGATGTAACAAAAAATATGAAGATATACTTTTTTTTTGTCGACTGCATGCGCAAAGGCGTTAGCAGAGCGTCGGGTATTGTCATCGGAATTATCGGCACGATCTATACGAAAACTCCCTATGGCTGTCGCTGAAAGCTGATTCTGTAATGCCCGGGTGAATTATGTTGATTGCCTGTTCGCCTGTTGGTGACCGGGCGATAGTAGAGTGGTTCCTGGGATACATAAAGGTAGGTATATTGTTGTTGTTTTAAAACTGCGAGGTCTGTGTATGCACGCTCGCGAAATAGCGAGTCTGATGGACTTTCGTTGCCATCCAGGAACGCAAGACGTCCGTCGTCGACGTCTTCGTAGAGTACCACGGACCCGTCAAGGAGCGATCATGCACGGACACTGTCTGGCTCTTCCTGTTCGCTGCCTTCTGCGCCGGCCTGGTAATCTCTCCTTCATCGTTTCCTCTTCTCGCTGAGTAATCTCGCTTGCCCGAACCATTGGTTTTAACCCGGCGTCTACTATAAGTGCATTCGGACACATTCGTGCCAACTGAAGACATAGGATAGACGGTATAGAACATAAAAGAGACGCGCAGTGATGTGATTGGTCTAAGCCGTTTTGAAGCACCTTTCGGAGTAGCCAAAACGGTGTTTTGGAGCAGCAGAAGTGCACTTTGGAGCAGATATTCTTAGAAAAATAAAAATATTCGTTTCAAGTGCTGGACAAACGAAGGACACTTTGCTCGCCGCAGTAAACATATTATAGTCAAGTTAGACCACCTGGGAGTCTTTTAACATGAAAGGCCAATCACATGAAACATATTTCAATGCTTCAGTAAAATGGTGCATATATATGTACCTGCTATAGGTAACTAAAAACCAAACTGCATTTATTAAAATTTATTTTAAAGTGACCATGCAGCTTAGTATTAAATATCGCAGCATTAGGTTGACCAGTTATATAATAAATAGAAGCAGTCTCTAACTGTTGATCCACGTTACCACTGCAGTGCAATGCGAAATTGTCACGCAAGCGGAGATAGCTCTTCGATCGAAACCATGCCACTCCGCTCCGTCGCCAACTGGTTGCCAAAAATGTACACAAAATGTAACTGTCCAGCATACGACAAAAAACAGCCCAGCCGCACGTGCTTGACAGAGCGGCTGGCAAGGTATAAGCTAAACATACAGAAAAAAAAAAAAAAAGAACCTGAGCACATCGATGCAAGACATCACGAGCCAGGGTCAGAAAGTTCTTGGAGCGCTTTGTGCAAAGACTGGACTCGAGACAAACAAGCGCGCTGTGCGAGTTCAGCGTAACAGACTTTGCCTTCTTTGCTTTAGCTCACTTCTCTTCACCCACTCTCTCGCGGCAGATTTTTCACGTACCGGCGACCCCTCGAAAAAAAGCTTACCGAGAGAAACCCAGGCAAAACTTCGACACAGCAGTCTTTGATCTAGAGGAATTTTTGTAGTAGCGCATTAAACAAGAATTGGAATGTTGGTGAAGATTAAGGCGGTCCTTACGTTTCAGTTTAGAAAGCGCCATATCTGCAGCGACGTGGCGACGGCAACACTCGACGTCGCGCGACCACGGCGACTGGCAGGCAGGTACCAAATGTAGTTTTGCCACGGCCATTGCTTTCAGGAGCAAGTGCTCCCGCTCACAAAGTAACTCCCGCCGCGCAAAAGCGTGGTTTCGTTTCACAGCATGATGACATGGCTGGTACCCACGCTGGTGTCGGAGTGTCCGCAGACACCCGCGTCTATCGTTGAAACATTTTTGAAAAGACGCGAGACAACGAGAGGACGAGAGCGTGAAACGAGAGACGGCGGGAAAAACCATGCAAGACCGGATGAACGAGTGATGCAGGGTACTTTGTGTCGGGTGCCTGCTTGCGCCACTTTGCTCACGTGTGCTCATTACAGTACTCAGCTTAGATTCGGTTTCGAAAGGCGAGCAAAATTGGTTCTTTGGCGCAGGCTTGGCGCAGATTACCTATATTTTGGCAAAATGTATCAGGATGTAGCAGGGTTAGCCCCTTGGCGCAGTTTGGCGCAATTGGCGCAGCAATCACATCACTGGACGCGTGATTCGACACTAACACAGAGGCATGTATGCTCACAAAGACCGGACCAAAATACGCCGGGTAGTCTCAGCGTTATCTTTTTCAGTTAAGTATCACTGGGACTGTATACATACAGGGACCAGAACTGGGTGGTACGCGGGCCGTATTTATTAAGTCGAACTCACCTCGATCGTCCCAACTTTCGAAAGACTGTATACAGGTATGGCTATCAGAGCGCAAGATCCGGGGCAATTACAAACCCCATTGCTCCGACGTGGGTATACGAGTGAGTGGAAAGGCAGAGTGCGGTTTTTAACTCGCGTTAAACGTCTTGGTTCCTGGCTGTAGTCCACGGGTCTCCAAACTTTTTGGCTAAGGGGCCTGATCGGGGATCTGTGGCCGCCTCGAGGGCCAAACTATTAAGCAAAAATAAATGGGGGAAACTAAATGAATAATTATATAAATATGCACATAAATACAAAAGTGAAAGTTAAAGTAAACGTGAAGCAAGAAGAATAAAGGTGGATGCATATACCCAGACAACACTTGAACATCCCCAGGATGTCCTCAGGACAACCTTTTGAGGACATTATGATGTCCTGAGGATGTCCTCAAATGATCCTGGAAACATCCTAAAAACGTCCTATTGTCCGGCCTCAGGACATCCTCAGAACGTCCTCAAGAGGGCAGCGAAGGATTTTTCTAGTACATTTTTAGGACAACGCACTGCAGGCGCAGCTGTTCACCGAGCTGTTAGGATGCTTTCATTTTTATTGTTTCTAGGTTTTCTCCAACTGGATTTTGAACCTCGAGATGCCTGCAAGAGCTGCCTGCAGAAAAAAAAAATGCATTGTTGCGCACTATTTTAAAGTGCAATTCACACACTAATTGTAGATAACTAGTCGGTGAGAGGTAAAGAACATAGGGCAAGGGAAAGGAGGAAGAAAGCTGGCGGAATGCTGAAGAGGAGAGAAGAAAACCTCTTCCCTCCAGCATCCTGTCGGCTTTCTCCTCTGCGTATTTCCTTGCGCTATGTTCTTAGCCTGTAACTATGAGCATGATCGTGCCATTCAATATTGCAAACAAAGGTAACTGTTCAAGAAATACTTTATTGGAGAGCATGACTTTTTTCAATGTCTGCACCAGACGTGCAGTCTGGCTTCGCATCTTGGCCAGCACTAGTCCGAATAGTCAGCGGGATCTAGAAAAAAAAAAATTCCATAAGTCAATTCAATTCAAATCAATTCCATAAAAACAGGTAATGTGAGAAACTTACCATTATGTCGAACACCTCCGGCCTTTGACTGCAGCTTTTTCAGCTTCTCTCCAGCGTGGCGCAGCCATACTTTGATGATGGTCTCCACGTCAGGTTTGTTTGCGCACTCAACATTTGATTTCACTGCTCCTAAAACATTGATTTGTGATGACAGTCACAGCAGGAAGCTAAGATGGTCTAGGAAAAAATCACAATGTTCGTGCGAGGAAGATACCCTTGCTACCGAGTCTACTTTCGCACACTTAGAAAGTTCGAAGCATTCGGTTACGCGTCGGCATCTTTCCCGCCGAAATTGCCGTTCATTGCTTTCTGCCATTTCGAAGAAGTACTACATTTAAAAAACACACTAACCTTTGTCACTGCCTTTCATTGCTGCTATCATCAATTTGGATGGAACAGCGCGGATATAGTCTCGCAGCGCTGACTAACAACTCAGTGATACATTTCTTCTTCCTCAAATCGTCATCATCATCTCCTTCGTCGTTAATGAGAACATTTAAAAATTTTAAGCACAAAAAAGCAAATAGCCAATAAACATTAATAAGTAAATAATAAATAAATAAATGGCAGCTAAAATTAAATAAAACTAAAAAAAAGTGAAGTTAAAATTTTTTTAGAAAATAAATTACAATTAAAAAATTAAACTTAAAAAAATTATTTCTTTTAATTTTCTAATTTTTATTTCTTTTTACTTGTCATTTATTTATTATTTATTAATTAATGTTTATTGGCTATTTGGTTTCTGGTGTTTAAATATTTAAAATGATCTCATTAACGGCGAAGGAGGAGAAGATGACGATATGAGGGAGAAGAAATATATCACTGAGTTGTAAATCAGCGCTGCGAGTCTGTGTCCTTGTGTGCTTGTGCGTGTGACTGTATCCGCGCTGTTCCATCCAAGCATGAATTACCAACTATAAATTATCAAGCCATCATCAACCTCGACGTTACTTCTGTTTTTGTCCTGGCTTGGCTTAGCTTGCTTGAAGGGGCACTGACACATCAAAATCATATTTTTTTTTTATTATCCGAAACGATTGAAAACGATGCCGGGACATTACCCTCAAAATTTGAGATTTGGGAATTCAGTATTCGTGAAGTAAAAAAACAATTTCCAAATGCCGAATTCGAAGTTCCCGCGCGATCGGCGCCGGTGCCTTGACGTCAAAAATTGAGGAGACCTGAGAGTGCACTTCCTTTCACCACTCCCTGCTGTTGCCATGGCGACCCGAAGCGAGGAGGAAGGGAGTGAGCGGCGGCGTTCCGGCGGACCGGTTTTGAGCGGTGTCGCCTGTTTTCCGTTGGAGGATACAAATCCAGGAGACGGCACCACAACGAACTCCCGATTTTTGGTATTTCAAAAAGAAGGGCCGTAGTGCGTTCGCAATTGCGTTAAAAAACATGTTTTAGGATTGCCGTAATTAAATGTTATAGAGATGTCGCCTACAAAGCTTCTAAATTTCCTGATTTTTGACGTCACCGATCAAAAGAAGCGAGGAGGCGAGAGGCGGGAAAATCAAACGCCAAAAGTAAAAAGGCGCACGCGCGCGCAAGAAAATCTTTTTCGCGATGCGGTTTTTTTTGCGTGTCTATGACTACAACTTGCATCGTTTTAGACAATAAAAATAAATACGACCTTTGGGGTGTCAGTGCCCCTTTGAGTCTCTCGGATGGGTGGATAAATGCCATAAAGGTACACCTTATAGTAGGCGGTAGCTTGTGCCACCTAGATTGAATGTTGCCAATGGAACTGAATTTCGAAATACTGCGCAAATACAAAACTAATAATTATTGTAGTGCGTCCTAGTTTTATTAAATAATTGTTTGATAAAAACTATAGTTAAAAGATGTCCTAAACTTACGCAACTACATGTAATAATTTGTATGTGAAATTTAGTTGAGCAGTGAACGTGAACTATGTATACTACCGAAATTTCATTCATTAATTTTTTTAAAAACGTAATCAAATTGAGGACGTATATATTACCTCTAACTTTGTATCCTTCGTCCTCAATAAGTCCTCGGAAGGACGTTTCTAGGATGACCCAGTGGTTGACGTTCTCAGGATGTCCTGAGGACGTCTTGAAAACCGTGAGGACGTTTGTACTTTTTGAGGACATCCTGAGGATGTCGGGTGTTGTCTGGGTATATACTCTATATATAAATCCAATATTTAGCTAATTGTGACGTTGTACAGTATCATCTTTTGACCACCTGAGACTGGGTGGAAGAAACACGACGACGTCGTCGTGTTTCTTCCACCCAGTCTCAGGTGGTCCAAAAAAAAAATGTAAATTTAACCCAGCTCGCCTGGGCCCTAACTGTTTTTTTTTTCTCATTAGTTGTACAGTAATCGGGACCCAGAAAACTCCCCAGGCATAAACCAAATTGCATAAAAACTTTGACATGTTCTGACAGGGCAGGAAACTAATGAAAATGCTAGAACCGATGCTGACAATATGAAATAGATAGAACACGAGACAGTAAGCACAACAAAGCTTGGGTGGGGGCTGTTCACAGTGATGTGATTGCTCCGCCAATTGCGCCAAACTGCGCCAAGAGTCTAACCCTAATACATCCTGCTACATTTTGCCAAAATATGGGTAATCTGCGCCCGGCCTGCGCCAAAGTACCAATTTTGATTGCCTTTCAAACCCGAAACTAAACTGAGTACCGTAATTGAGCACACGTCAGCTAGGTGGCCCAAGGGGCCACCCGACACAAAGTACCCTGCATCAGTGGTTCATCCGGTCTCTTTTTTTTTTTTTTACTTTTTCAACGATAAACGCGGGCATGTGCGGACGCTCCGACACTAGCGTGATGGGTACCAGCCATGCCATCATGTTGTGAAACGAAACCACGTTTTTGCGCGGCGGGAGTTACTTTTTGAGCTGAAGCACTTGCTCCTGGGAAAACTATACTTGGTCTCTGCCTTCAAGTTGCCGTGGTCGCGCGACGTCGGGTGTTGCTGTCGCCACGTCGCTGCACATATCGTGCTTTCTAAACTGAGACGTAAGGACCGCCCTAATGTTCATCAACATTATTGTTCTTGTTTAATACGCTACTACAAAAAATGCCTCTTGCTCGAAGACTGCTGTGTCGAAGTACTGCTTACCTAGGTTTCTCTGGGTGGGTTTTCTTTCGAGGGAAACCCCGGTACCTGAAAAATCCGCCGCGGAAGTAAGTTGGTGAAGAGAAGTGAGCTAAATCAAAGAAGGCAGTGTCTGAACCCGCACAGCGCGCTTGTTTATCTTGAGCACTCCGAGAGCTTTTTGACCCTGGCTCGTAATGTCTTGCATCGATGTGCTCAGGTTTTTTTTCTTTTTTTCTTTTTTTTTTTTGTGTGTGTTTAGCTTGTACTTCGCCAGCCAGTCTGGCAAGCACGTACGGCTGGACTGATTTTTGTTGTATGCTCGACAGTTACATTTTGTGCACAATTTTGGGAACCAGTTGGCGACGGAGCGGAGTGACTTGGTTTCGATCGAACAGCCATCTCCGCTCGCGTGACAATTTCGCATTGCACTGCGGTGGTCATGTGTACTGACAGTTAGAGACTATTTCCATTTATTATATAACTAGTCAACCTAATGTTGTGATATTTAATACTAAGCTGGTCATTTTGAAATAAATTTTAATATGTGTAGTTTGGTTCTCATTTACCTGTAGCGGGTATAAATATATGTATCATTTAACTGAAGCATTGCATAATGTGGCATGTCATTGGCATTTCAGTTAACATGTTGAAAGACTCCCAGGTAGTTTAACTTGACTATAATTTGTTTACTGCGGTGAGCAAAGTGTCCTCCGTTTGTTCAGCACCTGAAACAAATATTTCTATTTTTCTAAGAATATCAGCTCCAAAGTTCACTTTTGCTGCTCGAAAACACTGTTTTGGCTGCTCCGAAAGGTGTTCCAAAACGGCTGAGGCCAATCACATCACTGTGTTCATAATTGGTTTTCAACTGCGTCTTCTCGTTTTCGTGTCGTTATTCCCTCGTCTCAGTTTTGTGCTTGTCCTCTTGGTAGCGCAGTTTAAAATCAATTATGAACACTAACCCCAATGATGCGTGGATACGCGAAGGAATTTTAACATGCTCAGTTACACACATATGAAACGGGGGACTAATAATACTTGTTATTATTATTTATTATTCCCCACTCCAGAACGACCTAAGTCTTGATATGGTGAGGACGATATGTTCAGTGAAAAAATGACCGCATCTCGTACGTGGTGAATGATGTTAATCGGGGCGAAGCTCTGGTGGTGCTGAAATGCTGAGCCGCAGCATGCCGAGCCTTTCGTTCGTTTTCATCCATGTCAGAAAGAGAATGTGTGGTATGGTACGTGGTTATATACGCATTGGAGCATTTGACCGCAGCGCCCTCTCGTCTATAAACGTTGAGCCGATGCGTGCAAAGTTTAACGCGATTATATACGCATTTGACCGCAGCGCCCTCTCCTGTATAGACGCTGAGTGGCTGCATGCAACCTTTCATCCATGACATCCCCAGCTCTTGAGTTACTACCACATCTCAGAGCTCCCTACTCGTCCCGCAGTCGGGACCGAGTGGGCGATGGACTAGAAATCCACTGGGGTCTCCCCGCACAGGTTCGAACACTGTGGACTGCGCAAACATTTTTTTTCTTCTTTTTTTGAGAAGACAGATGGGATGGCAGTCGATGTGAGCACGGACGCCGGACAAGGCTACCCTAAGGAGCTTCGCCCCTAAAATATGACGATCCTTTTTTCTAGTATCTTCGTTTACGCGGTTGACACGCAATGCGGTGCAGTTTCAATACCTTTGCAAAAATCGCCTTCTGCGCACTGCCACCTTTGTCTGCTGGGCTGTGGAAAGCCTTCGGAGCATGCGCTGTTCATCTGCTGTGCGGTATACATCAGACGCTGCACGTGCGTCCCCAGTTCAATGACTCGGCATTTTTCGCCCGGGTGATAAGCGATGCAGCTTACTTTTGGGCCGGCCTGCTGGAAGCGTGCCGCGGGTCGGGCCTCATTGGAAGAACTGCGGCCAGCCTCGAGCCGGTCGGAAGACCTCCGCGAGCAAAATTTAACCCCGGGCCGGTTTTTTGTTTTGAACACTTTTGTTCTTCTCTTGTGAAACCAAGTGTAGGTTACGGGGTGATCACGGCTGCACGCACCGGCGTACGCGAGGCAGCCGATTAACATATTCAGTGAAAGGAATCGGGGCGCAACTAATATTCCCCGCGATCCGTGTTGGTGGCAAGGAGCACGCGAGGGGGCGTCGTTCCCCCGCTAATCATAGGTCGCGTATGCTTCATATTTTTTTACCATAGTCGCTGACAAGACAACAAAGGCGTCCTCGGCTTTGAGCACATGGTGGTTGCCTTCCGTTGTACTTGGCCGGCGCGTGCACGCTCAAGGATCACGAGACGTCGAGGGATTTCAAAGGCCGAACAAGCTCCCTGCCCTTCTACTCGAATTTTAGAAACGACAAGAAAAAAAAAAAAGCAACAACATGGACAACAGGAAGAAGTAGACGAAACGATGCGCTACTTCCAACTGAATTTTTATTGCCAGAGCCCAGTGAGGACGACGACGATGCGCGCGCAGGCGTGCACGGGGCCGACTCACAGTCTGTTCCAACGTTACTGGAGCAAGCTTTCTCCAGTAACGTTGGTCTGTTCGAATCTGGCCATGGATAGCCCCAAGCAAATTAAACTCCGTAACAAGAGAGACACCCCCGAGGGAACCATTCGCTCGCAATCCAAACGAAAGGAATTCAAATTCTTGATCTGATAAAAGGATTGACGATGTGCCCTCCCCCTGATTTTAAAAGCCTCGAAGATTTCTCTTTCTTTTGTTGTTTTATACGGCCCGAAAGTCTGCCTTTCATCGAGCACGGGAGAACATGGGCACCTGGCACAGTGAACGGCCAAGTTTCTCGAAGATGACCGCCTTACAGGAAGGTCCTGCTCCCTCGCCCTCTCATTTACGCATCCCCCCGTTGGCGCGATACATGCTCTTTCGCCAAGTCGTTAGTATCTCGTAAACCACCTATATTTCGCCAATCTACATATTGATTTACAGGTCTTTGTGCGCGTGCCTCCCTCTTGTATGCTTTATTATTTACCATTGGGCGAACTCTTTTACGATGCATCGAGAACAACGACTACAACGAAAAAAAATCTGAGCTGCGAGAATATTACGCGGCAAGAACGGCCGGTACAAAAGAGGCTCCAAACGATTCCGTGCGCACACCAACCGCCCAGCCAACGTTACTTTTTGTAACATTCACCAGTGTGATACTATTTGTAGTCTGCTGGGACTGCGTAAAAGAGCACTACGATTTTGTTTTCTTTGCTCGTATCGCTCGTAAATTTAGCAACCGGGTGTCATTGCGGAATGCAAAAGTATCTGCAAAAGTAGTTGAATTACATTACTAAGTATATGTACTCTATTCAAGATATTTTGCGGGGAATTAGCTTGAGTATTACTCCAAATATCTTTTGAAGCCGGTATGCAGTATCTCATCTTAACTAGTTTAGTCGAGTATCTTGTCCAACACTGCAGGGAAAGCATCCGCCATCGCTCCTCTTCAAAATTGACGCCAAAAAGAACAAGAGGAACGACGCTTAATGGGCCGAGCCGAGCGTCGTTTTTCTGCAGCTTTTATGTTGCAGCGGATAATGAATAGTGATCGAGAGGGTAAGAAGTGCAGGAGCTCTCGCGTGATGTCCAGGGCTACATCCTGTTCGTGGCCGTGCGGAAGGGGCAGCCCCTGCGGCTCATCAACGGCCTGGACAACTACGGCAACATCTGCGGCATCCGAAACGACGCCGATGCCCTGCCGGGGGTGCCGCAGTCCGGAAGAGACATGAGTCAGCTCCCGTGAGTCACACCCGCCTGCTTTAAACGGGGCACTGATTCGAAATTGAAAATAGACCCACGCTCAGAAATAAGGTAAACATAATGGACTGTATACCTGCTAATGACAATCGCACACTCGCATTTCAGACGGATGGCTGTATTTCTCGTTCTAAATGTTCGATTCTGGTGAGCGCTTCAGAATCAGCCATCCGGGATATCCGTCGCACCCGCGACTTTGCCGCGACGTCATCGGCCTCCCTAGGGCCGAGAGTACCGTAGTTATGAGAGCGTTGACACTAGGTGACGTCAACGCGTTACTACCTCGCTTAGTCAGTGTGCCCAAGGGCTGTAACATATCGGCCCAAGATAGCAGGCGGCATTCTTCGAAGGATGTCGCTGCTTTCTTCGTATAAAAGGGCTTTACTTTGTACGGGTCAGTTCTTGCGTTCACACCGTCACAACGGAAACAAATAATTATGGGGCGATCGAAGAACCAATTCTCGTCTGCCGTCGACGTGCTGAGGTGACGATGCCCGATGAGGCAGTGTCATGACCGCCACTAGTTTCTTGAAAGTGAAACTGCTTTTTCAGCCACCGGAAGGCAATGATTTTCAAGAAGTCTGGGTCTTCTGACTTCTACGCGTTTCTTGGTCAGAACCCCGTTGTTTGGATCGCTGCAAGTGCATTCGTGCGATCCCTCTATGACGGTGCTATCGGATCATGCAGGCTGCTCGTGTTGGAAGACGTGCTTGGCCAAAGGAGGTACTGCGCCTCCAAATGCCCCGTTGGTTACTTGTAAGTTGATCGACAATGTGTGCCCTAATACGGTTTCTTCCATAGCAAATATTGATATATCTTGCGCGCGTTTCTTCTTAGGACCACCCCGTTTCGGCGCTGCATTGTGGAGAACCTTCCCATCAGCTTCGCCGGCAGAGCCATCAATGTCAGCAGCTTATTCTTTGAGGTACAACACTCTCTATGTTGGAGTCACGTTTAGGGTAACACATTGTGTTGAAATGAAGGTCGTCTACCCGCAGAAGCTATCAGCACTAACCATGCACAGGCGCCCTTTTTCTTTTTTTCAAGAAGTTATTGTTGTTGTTTTGACGCGATGTCGGGGACATGAGTTGGTTCATGAAGTTATCCTAGACTAAATGTGGCAGCCTTGTTTCAGACGCTCGCTCATGGGCGCAGCCTCCGCAACGAAAAAGCATATGTCACATTAGAGAGGCAGACGAGTTAACGTGCGCTTCTGCGGCAGTTGTTTGGTTTGTGTGCGTGCGTACATCTCTGTGCATGCGCGTGCATGCATGTGTATGATTGGAGGGTGAGAAAAAGAGATGATTATGCCTCGTTAAAGGGATACTGAACCGAAATTTGGATTTCGCAAAGTAAGGCTGCAGAAGTGTTGAACGGGACGGTACGAACTCCAAAGCATCACTCGTACATCGATATCTCGAACGGATGGCCGTACTTTTGGAAAAGAAGGGCGCGATCAAGCGAGTTCTTCGACGTAACTGTCCTCCGGGAGAGTTTGAGAATGAGGAGAAGCGGCCTCGCTTCTCTCCTCCTCGCTTCGGTTTACCAGCTTGACGGGACGTAGCGAGGAGGGGAGAGGATGGGGATCGTGACGTGGCTTGTCTCGTCGGCCTCGTCGGCCGGGTTCAATCGCGCACTTCTTTTCCAAAACATACGGCGATCCGTTATACCGCCGTATGAGTGATATCTTTTTTTTGGTTTTGCAGCTTCCCGCCTATCCGCCCTGCTTTGTTTAGCGAGCTCGAAATTTCGGTTCAGTATCCCTTTAAAGCGTTCTAACTGTGCTTCCTTCTGCTACTTCACCTTAGGCAATACACAGAGAGGCACCTGGGGAAAATGCTCGTCGACAACCTAGCTTTGAGTTCGCGAGCTGTGGCTTTGAGCTGTCCTTCTCTCCCCCAGGAAGCGGCAGAAGACTTGACGATGTGCTGGCGGGAACTGGGATACATGTGCCTGATCGCCCTGGGTACGTCATCCGGGTCTCGTGCACCTTCCATGCACGCACGCACAACTGGCGCGCCACGTTCCGTGCGACACTAAAACAGCTTCTAAGTCATTTCCTAGGGAACATGAAAAGGCGCCGGACAGAAGCGTTCAAACAAATCCGAGTCAATCAGCGACACCTGTGCTGTCGCTTCGCCTTGTAGGGTTCCCTCGACCGCTGATAAGTTGTGAGCAGAGGCAACGACGCGGGAACGCATCTCCGGGGGAAGCTTTGTTTGCACGATCACAGATGCGCGGAACACGTTTACTCGAGGGTCATCTACTCGCACTCGCACTAGAGAAAACAATAGAGCGCCCTATCGTTTGAAGACCGGTGGCTTCACTGCGTTTCCATACGAGTTGAGACTTTTTCCTTATTTTTACTTTTTCCTCCGGTGAGTGCGCTCTTTGCAAATTTTATAGAAAAAAAATGCACCACCTGTGGGAAACGCTGCACAAAATCGTAGCGCGATACGTTAAGAAACCGATTTTTACGGTCGATCTAAGGAGCCTGGCCGCTATTTGAGGAACCCCGTAGGTGAACTCGCTGCGCACTCCACTATGTAGAATTTATACAAGGCCTGTCTATGACGTCATCGTCATGCGGCAAACACGCTAAAGCTCGGCAAAAGTCGAGTGGCAGGCCACTGCGTCGCCGCGTGCTGGCCTCGCGTCCGTTGCGAGACGCTGCAAGACGGACTGGCCGCGTCGCTGACGCGAGCTGCTACGTGGCCGCACTGGTGATGAACTAAAGGTACGACACAGCGTCGACTTATCAGGGGACCGCAACGTCACAATATTGCAAACGACATTTGAAGCAGTAAAGACAAAGGCACAGGAGCCCAGCTCAGCGAAATGCTTTTGTTTGTACGAGAACTCGTGCATAGGAGGCACTTTCCAAAGCCACGCGCTCGTGTCCATGCCTTTGTCTGCACTGCTGATGTTTGTGCAGATGGAGTATCGGTGCCAGTTTGCTCTAAGCCGGCTTGCTTTCTTTCCCCGTCTTGGCTGAGACGCTGTTTCTAGCGAGTCGGCCCTGGTTTGCAGCGCACGTTCGTTTATTCTACACTTGAATATTGGCTTGACGAAAACCTCACATGCCCAAAGTTTTCAGTCACCGAGAGATAAACCTTATTATTCTAGCGACGCTGAAACGGCTTAAATTAGTCGTGTCACATACTTAGAGCACACGACCACCGCTAGGGGCTATTTCGCGGCCTGTGATTGCCCCCGAGATGCTCGCCTATTCAAACCAATATGTATGGCCAAACTCTCTCAATAAACGGCTCCGAGAAATGTGGCCCTGTTGCGCAGCCCGGTGATTCTGATGCGCTTCTTGACCGCAGCCCTGTTGCGCAGGTTTCACCCTGGTAGTGCTGATGCTGATGCGCTTCTTCACCGCAGCCATCGTCTGGCTCGTCCTGTTCACCATTTCGCTCACCTGCGTCGGGGGAACCAGCTACCTCTGGTGAGTCGGGAACCCAGTGGCCCAGTGGAGTCATGAACCTGTGTTTTCTCGTCTCTTGCGGGTGGGTCGCTTAAATAACCGCCATGTTCGTCGCATTTCGAATGTAAGCGACGAAAGTTGCGGTCCCTCGTTCATCGTACAAAAGACGGCGCGCTGCAGACACGATGGGAGAATTATCTGCGCCTCAAGCCCGTTCGAAGCAACTTCGTGCGTGCTTTGACACGTTTCTGCAGGCAGGTTTTCTATGGCAGGTGGGACAGGTCAGTCGTACAAGGAAGCCAACACCGTCTTTTATGTGATGTAAGGTGTAACTGCGGCTTTAAAAGGATACTAAAGTGAGAGAAAAAAAAGTTACTTTATAAGGTTTAATTTTTTTTTTTCAGAAAGAAAAAAATGCTTTAGCAATGTTTACGCTGTTACGCGTAATTTAGTTGAAGGTCATGGGCCACTCTAAACCCTGCCCACAGATCAGTGGCCCCGCATATTACTATTGTATTGACTTGGCTGCACGGCTGAACACGCTAAGTCTCCTTTTCGCGACATCCGGTGCGTCTAGTCTAGGCACCGCTTGCTAGTCCTGCGAGCTGACGCGCGGCAGCCCCCGCCATCGTCTGCTATTTCGCCACCGTCTGTCGTCGTCTGCAATGCCCGTGAGACGCGGACACGAAAGCTGCGCGACGGCGTCCGTTTTCGCCTCCGTCCCTCTGCTATTTCGCGGCCGTCTAAAAACTTCTGCAACGCGCAGAAGACGTGACCATGAATCGGCGCTCTAGCGTTCCGTCATGCACGAGCCACGGTTCAATATAAGCGTCTGTGTCAGCGTTTCTCGATGTGCGTAATAAGCGGCCGAGAGGAATAAAAAAATTAACAAAACAAGTATGTTGTTCTTGCAGTTTTACTGCTCATGTTATTTTCTTTCACGTGGCATCCGCGAGCCAGGTGGGTCCGCGTCATGACGCACAATTCAAAAGCGACGTAAACATATTCGCTTCGGTAGGCCAGGTGCACCGCAAAACTTGAGAGCTACTTGCTTTTCGAAGCGAAATGACGGGAACATATGCAAACTAACGCCCGATTGGCTCGAGCCAAGTGGCTCGCAATTTCTTACCTGTGTATGTAGGTATCTTCTTGTGCTAAACTATAGTTGCAATCACAACGGTCGCACAGAGCAGCGGGGCCGCTTTTACGCTAACCAACATCTTTATTCGGCATCAACACGCGCAAAGGAACAAATCAAGCCAGATCAATGCAACGTAGTTGACGTGGGACGCTAGGCCAGTCCCGCTACGAACCCAATTGCACTCGCACAGCGCTTCCAACGGCACCTACTTGCAGCAGTTATTTGCTGCCAATTCGGTCGGTTGAGGAGATCTTCATCTAGGACCTCGGTGAACACAGAACGACTCGCCATGAAATTAAACAAGCTCAACGACCTAGGCTCGTTGACTACGCTGCAAATTGTTGTCGTTTGAAGCCAAAGTGGAAAGCCAATTTCGGGATATTTTTTTTTAACAATAACGACTCTATCTAGATTATTTGTTTCTACTACATACAAATATTGTCGATATGAATACTTGTATGGCATAGAGAGACAATTTTACAACAAACATTTCACACATCAATCATCTCTCCATCCAATGAGCTCAGAAAATGTGCTTAGTTCTGTAAGCACGGGGCGGACCCTAGAGCAGGGCTCCCCCACTAAAGTGCGTCTAACAGCGTAAATATTGCTCAAAAGTCTTTCTGTCTGGAAAAACACCTAAGCACACTTCTAATGAGTTGTGAATGCGAAAGCATGCAAGCTGCCCCCTTTTTCGTCTGCTGCGTACTTGTCATCGCCGGTCAGCGCGCGTTCTCCCCTGGGCAAGGTGACCTTGGACGCTCCGTGTTAAAGGCGCGCTGATGGACACGCAGCGCCGTGGGGTGAGCGGTCGTGGAAACTGACGAGCGCAGCGGCCAATGGGAGCCCCCGTCGAATCGCGCCAGTCAATGGAACCGAAGGCGAAATCCATCAGCTTTCGCTTCGCTCCTTTGGGATCGGGGAAACTAGGTGCCGTTTTCGCGCTTCAAACTGATGACGTCAGCTCGCTCCATGGGACCAGTTAATGCTCTCGCATTAAAAAACTTTTTTTTCACTTCAGTGTCCCTTTAAGGTGCTAAAGTTGTTCGCAGGTGCAGATGGCGAGCGTATTTGTTCAAGTTTTTCTTGTTTCCGAAACCCATTGCAGGTTCCTCTGGTATATCACTCGCCGCGACCTTTCGAGCTTGCCCGACAGCGAACCAAAGAAGCACCTAAACGATCTCCAGTACTGGCTCGCGGCAGCCTGTTTGGCGACCATTGTGACGGTAATCCTTTCATGCTTCCTATCTGGAGTGTACGGGGTAGCTTCGGAAGCGATTACGGCGCCTGTACTGCCAAGGAAATATTCGTTTTACATTTTCAAGAGCTACGGCCAACCGCCGTCGCTGTTCAATTAGGAAAATAGTTTTAACCGCTAGAATATACGTCTTCAATTATACTTTAAAAAGGAAAAAAAAAAAGGAAAATTGAGCACTCGTAGTTTTGGTGACAAATATTAATTTATATCGCACGTTTTTGTTCTCTTTTTTTTCTCAAGGCAATCCTTCTTCTGATCATTCTAGTCATGCGCAAGCGCATTCAACTGGTAAGTTTCGGAAGCATCTATCGCTTTTATTTTTATTTGGTCCTCGGTTCTTATATTACAAATTCTGATGTTGTTGTTGTTTTTTCACTATATTTTTTATGGGATTTACTAAGGTAGAGCTAGCTTCTCTACAGATGTTTCACTACCTCGACATTCCTAGGAGAACCCGCTAAATCTGCGTGTTTCCAAACTTCTAAAATCCAGCGTTAATAAGGAGCTTTAGGAGATCATATCGATAACTCCACAACGATGTTTTTTATAGCATTGGCGCTTTTGCGCGTGCATCGCATCGGGTGTACCTAAATCCACTTCGTGTTTAGAAAGTAGCTCAAGGTTTGTCGATGCACGACCCTTTCTTTTTTTTAGAGTGTTGAGCTAGATTTGCAACGCCATGCTCTCACCAGGGCGCGCGGCACGTGTTTCGAGCATTTCCACAACAATGAATGCCTCCACTTTTCCCAGGATAGAGGGGCTTTGGGTATACCGATATCGAAGCGCAAAAGCGATCTGAAGTATATTGAAGAACGTGCGTGCCCAGCTTCAACATTTTGTCAAGTGTCAAGTGCACTTTTGGGACCTGGCCGCTTTCCCATTAAGTAGTGGAACTGCACGGTAGTTGAACTGCGCGCTGGATCACGAGCGTGCTCTATGGAACTGCGTCCGCTGTCTCGCTGCGGCCGCAAAGATAGCCTCTCATTGGACAATGGCCTGCAGCCGCGCGCGAGAAAACCGATCTATGACTATTTTGATATATCCTTTCACTTTTTTCTGCGCACTTTTTTTTTTTTTTTTTTTTTTTTGGGGGGGGGGGGGGGGGGGCATTTTTACCAGAACGGGGTATGCGCTCATTTGTGCAATTTTGGCCTTTTAGGTTCGGTGCAGCAAATAGAATCAGGTTCTAACCCTGAAACTACTTAGTCAAACACTTCTTTAGTGCACCTGTAGAGTTGTACTTTTTGTTGTTGCTTTTCTCGAAATTTATTTTTGTAGAAGAAAAAAAGATTAAACAAATTATTACAGCGAGAAAAGACGTTGCTGAACATGCCGGGTGTTTCTGCGGATTCTTTCTAAAAATTCATGCAAATCGGGCAATTACGAAAAAAAATCAACTGTTCTCGGGAACAAACCGACAGCTACGGCAGACGTCAGGTATAGCGAATTAACTCCATGAAATCTGTTCAATAACTTTTAGTTAGTGGAAATAAACATATGGTTCCATAACAGAAATTTGCTGAGTGTCACTGAAAACCCCTCAACCAACCAATTTCAAGGGCATGAAGCGTGGAAATGCGCTAAAGTTAGTACCGATCGTGCAGAAGGCGGAAGGCTGGCCATGCGAAAACGAGGATGATTTTCTTCTCATCCGCCAAGTCTGCTTTCGTTTTACGCTCTTCGTATCAGTTTCTGGCAGACACAACCTACTTTGTACGCCGAGTTTGTGTCGCCATGGAGCCTATTCCTCGTAATTACCACGAGTCTTCTAAATGAATTGCACCAGATGTGCAATGGCCTCGAATACCCGTGTGGTGCACGGTGCTGTCCTTACTCCTGTTCTGTGTGCAGACGGCTGCCTTATTCACCGAAGCAGGGAGAGCCCTGACTGCCTTACCTCTGCTTTTCCTCCAGCCACTCTGGGTAAGAGTCAGCTCCCCCTAAAACCCCGTGGGGTTCATTTTTCTGCGAATTGGGAGGGGTTTTTTCGGGGTGTATTTTTTCACATTGATTCGATGTTTTTGGTGCAAATTTTCTGGATTGGCAAAAAATCGGTGTTTATCGGCACGTGAATTGAATAGGTGCTGGGAACGGGATTCCCAACATCCAGGGAAAGGGTGTCTCACCCGAATACTTGAAAAACGTCCCGTTACCGATAAAAAAAAGGAAACCAGATAGTATAGTGAAAAAAGAAGCAGCTTGGCAGACTGTTCATGGTTGAATTTGTTTCGGTTTTACACGCAATAAAATTGTAGATAAAACTTCTCTACCTATGAAGGTTGGGTTTTTCTTATTCGACAACAGTTCTAGTTCGGGGCTTTCCAGTCTCTCCGATTTTGATAAAAACCAGCTCGAGGGTTCATTTCCGGGGTTAATCGGTTTCTGTCAAAAACACGAAACGTACTGATTAGGCATTTCTAAAGTCTTCCTAAACGAGTCAGCGGTTGCCACAACGCGAATGTCTTTATTAACAATTCCTGAGGCTTCCGACAGGTCCCTCCTCAGAGTTCTTCATTACGTGAGTTCAGCTGCCTTTGAGCCGGAGTGTCACTGCTTCTACCATCATACAAAAGACAGTCTGCAAACATATTCGAACGCAAGTCACCGCAAGATCCTTGCCTTGAATGCCGCCTGGCAACAAGTTCAAGGAGAAACTTGGCATGCGGCGTTCGAACCACGGATATTGCGGTCACTCGTATTTACAAACTGTCTTTTGTATGATGAATGAGGAGTGTGGACCCCGGCTTTAGGCTTTGTTTAGTGTAAAAAGAGTGCTCAGATCTACGGCAAACTCTTTGTGTATCCACAAGGAGCATGGTTTTGACAAGACTAACCTTTAGAAGAACTATCATTTTCATGAGTCCATGGGCAGCGAATACACCAGCGCCATTTTGAGGCAGTCAACGCCTCATGCACTGCCAAATACCGTATCAGCACCTGTAGTCTTCATGCGTTACAAGCATTGTTTTATCATCTTCAACATTTTGGGTCATTCGCCCACCCACGGTGAAGAAATAAAATAAAAAAATATGTGGCGGACAATTTTTCAGGGGTGGGCGTTCTTTCGGGACTTTACGGCATTCAGTGTGAATTTAATCGCAGACGCTGCTGTTTTTAAGCACGGTCTTCGCGGCTTGGATCGTGGGAATGCTGTTCATCGTGACCTCTGGGGATCTGACGGCCGACAAAACCAGCGGTCTTGTGTACCTAGCGCAGGACACACTGCTCAAGGTAATCAGCATCGGCAAAATGATCTTTGCTCGTGACTTTGGTATCCACGCTCTACTTACGTCCTCAAGACTAGTCTAATGTTCTATCCACATCTCTCCCTTCATTTGCTTTTGCTGTTTTAACCTTGAACGTCGCTTTTTTTAACGTGCGCGAACTAAAAGCTCTTAGGGGCCACACATCTCGTGAGTTTCACAACGTTGTACAAAAACATTTGTGCTAAAATTGAAGACAGCACATGTGACCGGAGATATTACATCATCAAGGCTAAAGTTTCAACAGAACACTTCGCAAATACCATGGGGGGCAAAATGCGGCTCGAGAATTGGCAATCGTCCTCGTGAGATGTTTAAGAGGGAATGCGTAGTGGGTGGGGCGACAAATGTCATTCTGCATGAGTTCAAAGCCTAACTAAGGAAGAAAAGAGCGCCCCTGATGTCGCCCACTACCCACGCTCTCTGACGTCACGCCCCAGCGGTGGCGCTGGCGTCGGCACTGCGCATGTGCAGTTAACAGTGTAGCCAGCAGAGTGGACGTGGATTGATGAGAAGCAACCCTGTTGAGTGCAGGTGGCCCCGTGGTACCATCTGCTAGCGTTGTACTGGATGACGCAGTTTATCGTCAGCTGCCAGTACATGGTCATCGCCGGAGCCACCGCCACCTGGTATTTCACGAGGTTCGTCTCGTTTCACGGAGCTGTCAGAGTAGACAGCCTTCCATACATCGCTTTGGGTCCCAGCTTGGGGCGTCATACTGCGTACGCGCAAATGTTCTGTGCACTGCGATGTCCGGAGCCATGTCAGAGGGATTCGGAGCGTCGATGTCCCTTATCCTAAAACTCTCTATCGATGGTGAGCATAACGAGTCTCCCGGCAGTGTTGGCCGCTCTTTCGCTTCGCCGCCTCATGGGCTCCTCTCGGAACAGAAGAAGGTAAATGCTGACCGCGTTCTTCATAACGAAAGAGGCCCCGGACACCGAATAATTCCCCTTTTTTAAGAGTTGCCCGATCGCATAGATCGAGCCCTAAAAAGATCAAGTCGAAATCTGTAAAAACAAATAAGCTCGAAACTTTCTCTTAATGGACTTTGGGAGAAGTCTCAAATCGGGGTGCGATAATTGCTCTCTCTCTTAATTTCAGAGACAAAGACCTCGGGTCACCCATCTGCACGAGCGGACACTACCTCCTACGCTACCACCTGGGGTCGGTGCTGCTGGGCTCTTTCTTGGTAGCACTCGTCAAGTTGCTCAGGGCTCTCCTCAAGTGGATCGAAAAGCAGTCAGTAGAACAAACTCATCTTCGTCGAAGAATCCTGAAATTCACAACGATGGTTCCCGTAACTTCTTTCTCACTCGACGTGCACCCGCCCTTTTCAGGCTGAGCGGCCGGTTCAGCTCCTGTAAGGTCTTGCTCAAGGTCTGCCAAGTGTGCCTTTGCTGTTTTGAGAGGTTTCTCAAGTTCCTCAATAGGAATGCTTTCATCCTCGTCGGTGCGTAGCTTTTATGCATTTATTTCGTGTCTTACAATACGCGTAAATTATCTATGCATCCGCCTGTCAATTTATAGTCTTAGAACCGAGATAAATGAGATAGATGAGACATGTTCTATGTCTTAAGATTATGATGAGTATTAAATGAGTATTAAACGAGAAAGAATCTTTGAAACTGCCACCGCCCTATTCTATTTTTACGTTTTCACCCGTTCGTGTTCATTTGATAACGTACGGAGTAATGACGATAATAATCCCCTCCTTATCCAGGGATTACTATCGTCATTCTTGTCCAGCTCACCTGCACCTTCGCATTAATTGCATTATCATCATAACCTTAAAATGCAGGCTGTTCATCCTTGTTGGTGTGAGACTGGTGGCAGCTGAGAAAACCCGTTTGCTCTACTGGCGCCTGACTCCTGGTTAGCTCATTTGGTAGAGCGCTTCAGTGGAAATGGAGATCTGGTCCCTGGTTCGATACCAGGACAGCCGGATTTTCTCGGTCGAGCGCCAGTCGCCTAGCTGTGTTTGCAGATTTGTGACTGTTGTGTTCGGAGATTGCTGTTACTTGTACTGATTCAAATAAATTTATCGATGAATTCATGGATCGTTTGATCGATCTTATTGACCGATCAATTGATTTGTCGATCGATTGACTGGTTGATCGATTGATCTATCGAGTGATTGATCTATCGAGTGACTGATTGATATGCATGGTTCCCCGTGCCTCAGCCATCCACGGCTACCCGTTCTGCAAGGCTGCACGCGAGGCGTTCTCGCTGCTGTCCAAGAACGTGCTTCGGGTGGCCGCCATCAACTGCGTGGGCGACTTTGTCATCTTCATGGCCAAGGTCGGCGTCATCGCGGGCACCACGCTCATCGGCTACGAGATCCTCAAGGCAAGCAGCCGTCTTCGCGACCTTCTAGCGCGTCGAAAGTCGCCGGCTATCGCAGGCTTCCGTGTGTCATACTTAGTCCAGCTGGTCTCGGTGAAAGCACTCGGAACCATATAGCAGGCAGATTATAGATGCTCATGCGGCCTATCAAACTATCCCTCACATCGATACAACTTTCACCAGCATGCTTGCGCTTCAAGTTCCACTGCTCATACCAACGTTCTTGGAACTGTCAGTTGACAAGCTCGAGGGAAGAGCGTCGTTTGAAAACCGTTCTTCAGCGGTGCCAGCACGTGAGCAGGCACGGACGGATAGCGATCCTAGCACCACCAGCAGCATCGCATCCACGGGCAACGAACCATTTTCGAACGACGCTCTTGTTTCGCGTACTTTTATGCAAACTTTGTTTTCCCCGCAAAACCCCCGATAGAATCACTTTTCACCGCAGACTATGGGCATCCAACACCGGTTCCGTCGCTTCGGTCCATGGGACGGGTTAATAGATTAGCGAGCGCCACCGAGCGGACGCTCCACGAAAAGGCGCCAGGCGTCCTAGGAAGCTCGTCAACTTACTTTGACCTAGTAATGCTGGCTCATACGAGGTGCGACCCAAACATTCAGGGAATGGTTTTTGGCGTAAAAAGAGAGGGCAGCACAGTGATGCATGCGCAGCTGTTGTAAGTAAAGTCCCTTGATACTTCTTTTACAAGTAACGACAACCAATACAAATGACAAAGCACATTCCCCTGGAACAACATGGCGGCATTCAGTTCAAACCTCTGCTGTGCGCCGCCATTCGCTTCCTAAAACATGCGCCGTAACGCAGTCGGCGCTTCAAAGAATGTCGCTACTTGTAGGAAGCTCGTGTCTAGGGACTTTAGTTGAAGCAGGGACCTTTCATTTGCTTTATTTTGCCAAAGGTTTTTTTTTTTGTGAACATTTTGTTTTGCGCGTTACACAAGGTTTTTGTGACCAAATGAACGAGCAATGAGAACAAAGAGCAAGCATCGAGGGACCTTTTGAAATAATTCACCTAGCTTGGCGAAAAACCAATGAGTCGTGCGAGGCGTTTTGAGGGACTTTCGAGCTTCAAGAACGGCCAATGGAAGAGGGTTAAACGACCTTGCTCAACCCCTCTTCGCCTTTCATTGTTGTCCGGCCGTTCTGGAAGCTCGGAAGTCACCCAAAGCGTCTCGTAGGACTAACTGATTTTTTGCCAATCTAGCTGAATTATTTTGAAAGGTCTCTGTACCATATTCATTCCTTTTGATGTAGAATCGATGTTCGCTCTTTGTTCTTATTGCAGGTAATGGTTTCAGTGATGTGATTGCTGCGCCATTTGCACCCAACTGCGCGTAGGCTCTAATCCCGCTACATCCTGCTACATTTTGCCAAAACGTGAAGAATTTGCGCCGACATCGCGCCAAAACTTTTTTTCGCTCTGTTTGTACCGAAAATAGAACAAATCGGGTCCCGCTACTGGCCGGATCGTTACGGTAGGCTGGGGCGAATTTCCCAAAGTTTCGATTATCGTCTTAAGTAACATCATAATCAGTTAGATTTCTGTATGAAACATTGACTGTACTCGGAAGCATCGCAATATTTCTCAAGTACGTTGTCTGTTCTGACCGGATAGCTAGCATCGTTGAGTGCGCTTGTCACCGCGTAGCAGGCGTCGCGATTTTGCATATATCTTGCTTCGCCGAAGTGCACCCTCGTGCTGAGGAGAAAGCACTCCCCCAGGGCCCAAAGGAGCTAGTTACACACGGTTTAAAAGAAAAAATGCGTCCAGTATATATGATACCGATATTGTGGCGATATATTTTTCACATTCAAGATTCGTCGAGGATACTTGGGTATCGCGAGAAAACTTTTCTAAACTGCTATATACGTTTATTTGTATGTCAACTCTCGTTTAGTTATTCCCTTCATATAGGTTCCATCCGTGCGATGGCACAGTGAATACAGAAAATTAAAACTAAATTGACTGGAGCAGTAGAAGGAAGCTGAAGAATAACCTTACCGTGTTCGGCGGATTTTTTATTTTTTTTCCTAGCTTATAATTATTATTTGCGTGCTGATTTTTGTTATCTTGAAGGTCCACTTATGAAATGTCGTTGGTATTCATAATCAAACGAAAATAGCTTTATACTCTATCTAAATTAAGAACTGCAAATTTATTACAGCCTCTAGAACTCGAATAGAACATCAATTCGGGTGCTCGAAATGATTATATTCCAGAATTCGATTTACCCGCAGTTCCCGCAGCGGTGTTGAAAAGTGTAGGGCGATACACTTCCGGTCGTATCTCAATACACATACCGAAAGTAGACTGCCGTACACTTTTCTGCACCGGTGCGAGAGGTGCGGGTACAACGAACGAGCCTACTTCGACTTAGTGCCCAAAATAAGCGTGCACGGCAGTTTCTACCGCCCTTCATCGACCGGCATACTGTTACGGCACTTTTGTACTTCTACGCGCATTTGAAGTGCTTTCTAGGGTATCAAACTCGTCACGCTGTCGATGGCATCGAAAGATTTCACGGAAGCAGGAAGGCAAAGTTTATACAGAAACAGATAAATCTTAACGCGATAGTCGCGCTCGTGCGAACAAAGATGTAATGCGGACTCAGTCTCCAATACTGACTTTCGGCTGCTCCAAAAGGCGCTCCAAAAATACCACGGACCAATGGCAACACTGAGGGTGAAATCGCGGACGTGCTCGTGAATGCGGTCCCATAAAGGTCGCGTAGCGGCACCACCAAATGTTCCCGCACTCTTTGGTACGATGACTCGGGAAGATCCCTCACCGCCTTGAACAGCTGGGCGCGCATCAGCGTGCTGCCCTACAAAACTGTTCCCGGAACTTGGGGGTCGCACCTCGTACAAAAGACACGCTGGAGTCTTCGCTGCATTCGTGAGGACTGAATGAACCGCGGACACAGCTGGAGCATTTTCAAAGAATGTTCGCTTCATACGCTTCTGAACGTGTCTATGGAAAATTTTTTTATATCAGAGACGTGACAGGACCGCCGTGGGAAAAATCCCTCGTCAGGCAGTGTGCGCACACCGTTCTTTGTACAGTGTATTGGCAGTGGACGGCGACGTTGGAGCGCAGCAAAGCGACTGGTGTTTGCGTCTGGAAGGCGTTAGGTACAAAAGACGGCCACGCTGTTCGTGCAATCTGTGAATCCGAATTGGGTCCATCGTAACTTCTCGAGGCGACCGATTTATTGGGAGCTTCGGGATATTTTCCCGAAACGCCAACGGAGAAAATGAGCAGACCCATGGCAATCGCAACGTACGGGACACTTCACTCAAACGACCGACAGAGGCGTGCACGTTTCTTTACTCGACGAGACTGTACTTTGACTTAGCGCAAATGCACGGTCGCGGCCAAAACTTAGTGTCTCCGGAGCCTTTGTATCCGATAAAGCGCTTAATATTTCCGCTCTTTTTTTATTATTATATTTTGGATGCCACACACGAGAGACTCGAAGGACTCCTGAGCAGTCTCTTCTACGCAATTTTGAAAAACGGGAAATTAGTTGGCCCTCCACGCTGATGGCTCTATATTTAGGTAGTTCGATTTCTACCCAATACCTCTTATCCCCCCTTCCGAAGGTGACATAGTGGCCACCGCGCTTAGGCAATCCCTCTTCAGGTTTTTCTCTTTAGCAGAACTCTGCTAGTACTATTGCCCGGGGTCCTTAACGTGCGAATGGCAAAGGCTCCGAAGGCGAACTGGGGATAAAATGAAAAGCGAACAATCGGCGGTGGTACAACATGAAAGCTCGAAACAGTTTCGATTGGATAGTATCGTAAGCGGGCCAGCGCCCATTCCGAGAGGCACAGCCCTATTGATCCAGCGTAGATGCTGCGGGTCCGGGGAGACACATCTTTCCATTATTTTTAAAATAAAAGATGTGGCGTTATTTAATAACACACTTCGCCCATTGTGCTATTGCTGCGAATCAAATTACGCGTTTCTTTTGACGTTTTAGCAGAGTTTTATAGCTCTCGATTTGACTCTATTTTAGGAAAGCTTTATTGTGTTTTAAACGTGTGTTCGGCGTTTAAATGCTTTTCTCTGCCTCGGTTGTTTTCTCTTTGTGCAGATGAAAAACGAGGCCCTGCACTACATCTGGCTGCCGTTGGTCGTGGGCGGCGTCTTTGCCTTTCTGATATCCCACTGCTTTCTTTCCGTATACGAGGTGAGCAGCTCGTCCGAGGACGCCCCAACAAACCGTCATCGAACCAGATGCAAATTCTTCGCCGGTATAAAACACGGTCTTTTGAAGGTTAGCTAAATTTGCTAGGAAGATTTGGCTAACCTTCCTTTTTTGAGGGTAAAAAAGAAAAAGAGGGCCTCAAAAAACAAACAAAAAAAAAGGGGGGGGGGGGGGGGGCGAGCTTTAACACGGTTGACACTTTGCTAAGGTAGCTTCTTTGAGAACTTTTTTTTTTCTCTCGAGCTAATTAAATACGGCACAACTTGCGAGTCATCCAGGACAGTCTTACAAGTAAAAGCTTACTCGAATATTTAATCCTACTTTCCTCGCGGGTCCTGACAGGGGAATGAAGTTATCGTGAAGGACTCCCGCGGTTCTCATAAAGGGACAAGTTATTTCGTTCCCAACACCTTTGTGATTGAAACCGCCTCCTGCCTTCTGTTGCGACTGTTACTGATGTTATTAGGTTTAAGGCTGTACTACCTATTATTCTTGTTTTGAGCTTCTGTAACATATTTTAATTACGTTTCTATTCCCTAATCCCCGCCCCGTTTGTAATGCGTCGACCTAGATAATATAATAAATAAAGAAAGTTGCATTACCGAATGGCCACTCTGAACTCCTACAAGGAGGGGAAGAGTTATCCTTTTCCCTGTCTACTGCGCGAGTGAAAGGGATTTTGTGTACCAAATATTCAAGGAAGGAGTTTACCTGAGTAAGGACTCAAAAAATAAGGGCGTACATTCGCTAGCTTTACGGCCACCGCCCTCCGGGTCATTTTTTTCTCTCTCTTTCCCTCTTTACGCGTTTTTGTTCGCCCTCCTGTTGCTACCACTAGTGTCACTATATGGAGCTACGCGTAGCTTTACACAGTGGCTCTAGCTACCACGTTTGCGATGCCCACTTTCTGGGACTTGCAGTTTTTGAGTGTGTAGACCGCAAAAGACAGAACGTGCAGAATGTAATTTTGGGGATTCAGACTTTCAGATATTAATATACCAAAATACGCTAAGTTTTTTTTTTTTTCTTTTTTATAACTTTGACAAATAAAGTGACGTCATTGTCAGTCTGTCGGTGGTTCCAAACACGGGCGCCTATTGATTACTTCTGGTTTCGATTTTTGGTAGGCTTAAAATATTGCGATTCTTTGAAGGCCCGTTCACCCACTTTCATTTGACTACGATTGACTGAGACAAGAATGGTTTTTCAGCCTCTTGTAACGGCTTACAACCCACTGCATAGTAATGCAGCCGATCGTGAGCCGTCCTCGTCTAAGTTGGTCGTAGTCAAACGCAAGTGTGTGAATGGGCCTTTACTTCTAACTGGTACAGATCGCTATTCCCAGATAAATCCTGAAATGTATCTCAAATATAATATTTTCAAGCAAGTTTATGTGTTTTTTTTTTTACCGATCCTTGATTGGAAGCAGGATAGTGAGCTGATAAATCAGCTATCGAGCAATGTTGCAAAAGAAGGAAGAATACGCGTCACACTTTTCATCTGCCTCCGTTTGCAGATGACCATCGACACTCTTTTCCTCTGCTTCTGCGAGGACTGCCAGATGAACGATGGCATCTCGAGACCCTACTTCATGAGCACCAATCTCATGGTAAAGCATCGGGCAGTGCCGTGCCTTACTGCTTTGTCGAAGGAGAACAGTTGTTTTATGGTGCCTGGAAGGCGTCTTGGACTTTTCACCCGCCGGGCTTCACGAGGGATTCCAAGTGGCAGTCAATTAGCTCAGGGGGGGCCAGCGTGTCGTAATGCCGGTTGTCGCCTTCCTAGCGGTTGGTTGTACAAGTTCCGGTAAAAATAGAGGAGCGAAAGCAAGCGTCCCTAACTGCCGGAGCTTCCTATAAGCGTGATGTGCACACAGGCCGTACCACTCCTTCTGTACCCACGTTATCGGGTGGAAAATCGAGGCACCACAAATAAGGAAACGGTTTACATACCAGTCGGATATATTCGGCTCGAAATTCGATCGGCACAAGTGTAAAACAAAACTACGCTTTGTCTTGCACTTACATGGAGCAAAACGAATGCTACGGACGCGACGCCGAAGACATGGGAGGTGCAGCCCTCGCGCACTGGTATAAGGGCTCGTGCCCTGTACCCTTGGCCATAGCCTCCTCTATACTGACAAAGCCTGGCAGATTGCCACGAGAAGCGGCTGCCGAAATGGGAAAGGTGAGCGGCAGACAACGGATGAGAGGAGAGCCACGTAACTGGCGTCCCACTGCAGCTGAAACACACTTCTCCCAAGCGAACAAGTGTGTTTCGGGTCCTCGCCGCTGCAAAAGCTGTGCGCTGACGTCCAGGTTCCCCGAGAAATGGCTCTTTGATGCTTTGTGCTACCAGATCTTCGCGCTTCCAATCTGCGACCGGGCACTCTATGACTCCGTCGTCGAACTGCCAGGCTCGCGAGTATAGAGGAGGCTATGTTTTGGCCGTCTGTACTCTGTGCCGCTAGTGTGGATGCCTTGTCTCCACCCGCCTTCTGGAGAGATGGAATCACCATGTGCCTCATAGAAAACAACGGATAAAGTTCCATCTGGGTCTCGAGGCATACTTTAGCGCCTAGAGCGCGTGTCCGACTGCTGTGTTTCCTGCGTCTTTAATTTGTCCTCTCCCGAGTGACGACGTCTCTGCGGCGTCTCCGCGATCACTACGGGTCGCCGCGATCCTCACAGTGCAGCTGAGGCGATAAGACGAAGGTCTATTGCACTCGCCCTGTGGCCGGCAAGGGAACTCGAGCAACCACGGGGTGGGACTCCGCGACGACAGCGGCCTCTGGTCGCCCGCTTTCCCTGGTGGACTTCCTACAACCAATCGCCAAGATCACGACAGCGCGTAGCCTAAGTATAATTCGTGTCCTTTCGTGCACGACCGCACGGGTGGACGCCGAGCAGATCCGTTGGATGCCATAATCGAACCTAATGACTAGATGTGCCACGAATGGATTCCAGCTCTTTTTACTGGGCGTGGATCCAACTTCCAAGCATGCGCAGCAGCCTTTCTCTTCCGCGAAAAATCGTGCGTGAGTCCACAACTCGACGACGCACGACTTGGGCCTCGAAGGTCGTCCAACACAAAGCTGGGGCCGAAGTTGACAGAGTGCACCGATTGGCCTATCACGACGATGACTTGGCGCTTTTTTCGCCGACGTCCGATCGGCGCCCTCCGCCAACTTTCGGCTCCAACTTTGCGTTTGACGAGTTTAGGGCCCCTGGTGAGACAAGTTGGTGAGAAGCGCGAGAAAAGTACACGCTCCAATGTCTCGCTCTCCATTCGCGTAGAAACGCGAGATCACTTTCAAGGTTTCCTCGCCGCAATTTCGGATGTTACACAATCATCACCAGCTCTATAGCCTTCACACTCCCTGTCCTTTCATTAGACCCTTCCATGGACATGACTGGTCTTCGTTACGTTTCATACCTTCTGTCTCACTTTCGTGGCCCCTAAAAGCAAAAAAAGAATAGAGATATTTAGGGCGCCATGACATCACGCCCAATTTATTTCTTTTCTTTCTTTTTTTTTTTTTTTACGGTACTTGTGCCGAGGAACTGGCTTGCATGCGTTTAAATTTCGGCAAGATTCCAAGTCACGCGTAGAGCTGCAGCTTTTTATTTGTCCGATAGCATAGCTGAGTGAAAGCATCCGCTCAAAATGGTCTTCTTTCCCACTTGCAGGCATTTGTGAAGAACAGCAGAAAAGCAAGCAAAGCGGATGTCAAGCATCACAAGCGTGCTTAGCCTGCACTTGACTTCTCGCCGCCTTCACCTGGGCGGTATCGATAGCTTGTCGTAAAAGGAAGAGAACGGGGAAGGGGCATTATAGAGGACATAGTATTACGGCCACTGGTCTTATGAACGCTATGCTACAATAATCTAAGACTTTACGAAATGCTGGTCGCCTGTTCGGCCTGGAAACGACTACGCTAGAAATCAGAAAATTTCAAGTATGCACTTAAAACAGACAAAAAAACTTTAAAAAAACAACCAAAAAGAGTGTCCTAAGTAACCGTAACAAGACACATAAGAAGCTGATTGAATTATGCTACAAAAAATTAAGATACCTAAAATTAGGTAAAAAAAAAATCAAAAAGGCCGAAATATGAGAGGTGCATAAAATAACGGTGAAAGGCCCGTCCAAACAGGATACTTTTGAAATCGTGAAGCGACACGACTCCGACATAAGTCGTTCGGCGGTCCGCTTCCGTCCGTTTATTTATTTTTTTTTTTTTTTTGGGGGGGGGGGAGATGTTTTTTGTCTAAGCCCGTGCTCCCTAATTTTCTCCACGCATGCACATCACGTGGGTCCGGACAGCCACTCACAAGCTCTGTTGGCTTTCGGTTAATCGCTCAAGGCCTCCGCTGCTCTTCAGGTCCTGGAAACGGGAAAGGGAAGGGCCGGGGTTGGTCGTGTCAAGTGAGAACACAGAGCGACGCTGGATGCGGGTAGTTTTCGAACGCAAAGGTACAAAACACTTACCCCGGGGGTAATATCGAGTAAATTTTGGAACACGACCAAGGGGGCCTGGCAGAACAGATCGACAGAATTGGCAGGTGTCCTGTGACCTCAAGTCTGACGAGCGTCGTGGCCACCGAATGCGGAGGAAGCGAGGAAGAAAATCTGTGGATGTTTGCTTGGTAATGTTCGAACAGACGCCGGAACGCCGGACGCTTCAACTTCCACGATTTTTGACGGAGTCGCGTCGCCTCGCGATTTCTCAAGTGTCCTGTTTGGACAGTCCAAGTATAAAATGACAAATCATCCATTCTTATTTCTAGCAGTATAAATGGTGCCAAAAGGTTTTTGTGTAAGAATTGGATGTGCCACATTGGACAAAAGCATTTAGCAATGAACTCCCGCGGACTTTGCGATGCAGAAATGGTGCGAAGATATGCTTGCCTTAACGTGGAAAAATAAACGGGCCCCTGTTAAATCATTATTTTCTAAAACTTGCGAGTGTTTCCGAGATTTTTGGATTAAATATCACGTAAAAAAAATGGGTTGAGAAGATTTTAAGGTTTCAAGTTCTGCCAAATATCACTGAACGGGTGTCGGACGCTCAAGCTGTGAAAATTGTGATCCACGTTTAGTGCGCACGCGTGTCAAGTTCTCACTGTGATCGTATGTTGTTTTAAATGATGACGCTGGACGCATCCTTTCCTTTGTTCGTCTTTACACAACAGTTTTAAATATGTGTGCACAATGCGGGGTTTTGAAAATGGAATAGTGTGACTATCATGGATTGACATCTTGCTGCGTGTGAAAGTGTAAATAAAACGTTTTGAACCATTCCTCATGGAGTACACTTCGATATCTCAAAGAGACGAATAATTTCAGTAGCTACATAGTTTCGTGAAATGGACTTCTTCCAAAACCGACGCGCCCCATCGCGGCGAAATGCCACGCAGTGCACTCTGGGAACTAGTTGGCCACTCAGTTTCGGTTTCGACTGAGCGGCTTCATCTCATGCTATCACGCCGCGATCGAACGCGCTGCTTGCATTTTCGATTATCTGACTTTTCACGAACGTACAATACACTCATTCTCGAGCGATACAAAACGAAGACCGGGGCACTTTCCTTGGTTCCCGAAACACCGGATATTGTGCGTGCGTATGCGAACGTAGTAAGTCGTGGCTTAGTCACCTCACCCGACGAGTGCATCTTTGACCTCAATGTCAGTAATCCCGTCTAGTACCAGCGAACTACAACTGAAATTTGTTCGTCTGGAGCATTACACACATTTTGTTTGCCAAACGTCTGCTTCTTGTTACTTCATTGGGCGAAAAGCAAGCCGCATCCTCACGGGGTATCGAAGTTGAGGCCAGCGTTTACGCATGAACTTTTAAGGAAACGCAATAAATTCGACCTCACTACTGCACAAAAGTTACTACGATGTCTTCCTCTTGTCATCATATATCCCCCACTCAAATTTTATGCTGATAGAAGATTAACTTTCCGCAAACGCTGAGATCGGCCAGCTACGACTTAGGCCCTAACAAGCGTCCCCCCTACTCCTCGCTAAGCCTTTTTGGACGAGCTTTTACTGACGCCCGAGATCTGTGCCGGGAACGGTGTGTCTGAAATTATCTCGGCATACTCAGGCAGGAAGAAAGCAAACACATAACAAATATTATGGCCATTAGCAACCGTAAAATGCTCTTTGAATTTTTTCGAGCACTTGTGTGAAGAATGTCGCACCGTGCGCCGGACGGGCATGAACCCCAATGCGGTGCGCATAGGGGTTCATGGTCGTCTGACGCACTTCCGGCGAACGGTGCGACATTCTTCACACAAGTACTCGACTTTTGCATTCTTAAAACGGTCTGTATGCGCGAATTAGTCTATGATTGCAGGATAACTTTATGCGCATACGCGATGTTGAATATTAGTGGAATGCAAGCGGGTGGGGACTTCACTTCGTGCAGTGCTGCGGGTCAGTACAGATAAGAGATAAGTGTGTTGAAATTGAGCTTTTCAATGGCACCTCCGAGTTTTACCTCGCATACTCAGGCACATTAAGAAAAACAGTAATTGCAAAAAGTAATATTTAGTCTATGGACGCACGAAGCGAACTTCCTGATCAAAAACACTAAGGTAAAGGCGCGAGCTCGATGTATGCATACTTATTGTTTGCTACAGCTTGTTGTTTCGTACACAAGCAAGATCCCCGAGCACCCGAGCTTCGCAGCGTCGAGACTCCCAGCACTGGCTCGTCCACATACCTCGAATGGAACGCTAACAGGAAGGCTCAAGTACAAAAATACAACAAGCTTGTGTTAAGACAAGCTATACGTCTCGGGCTTGTGCTAAAGCTTCGAGGCCTGACCATTTAGGTTAGTTTAGAGACCACAAATGACGCTCTCGGGACCAGAAAACAGTCTCTTGTCGACGTGTCGATCGAAACCGAAACCATGCCACCCTCCTCCCTGGCCAACTAGTTCCCAGAGTGCAACGCGCGCCGTGTTGCATGCAGGGCTTTATGGAAGTAGTCTATTGCCCGACCCGTGAGCGCTTTTCACATCCAATTTCGCAACCGGGTGATGGGGGCCCCGTAACCCCACGCCCCTTTGTCGCGCTGCTCGTGGCTGTATTTTGCCTCTCGAGTCTTTTCGGTGGCGCCTTCAGATTTTGCCACCGCAGAACAAACACACGCTAACAGTCCATCGACTTTTGTCTTTCTTATGTCCAGCCAGTTTTTGCGTGCATTATTTAGCAGGAACGAAACAAATAGCTATTTAGCGACCCTTTGTTGGTGTGGCTGTGTTGCTGACCCCTGATGAGTGCAAGGTTGAGTGTCCCACAGGGCTCAGTTCTCAGACCGACCTTGTTCCTTATATATGAAAGTGGCACGCCGCAGAAAGGCTTCTGATTGTCCCGTGTGCCGACGACACTTCCATCCTGTCGCCTGCCTCTGGCCCAAGCAGCTTTCACCACCTTCAGTGCGACCTTGAGGAAGTGGAGCACTGGCCCCAACGTTACTAGAACCACTCAGTTGGGAAACTGCCATAGAGACTGCTCTGAAAAGTGGCCCCGATCTGTCCTCGAGAACCGAGCTAATGGCGGACACAACGCCGCCATTTCTCCCGCAGCGGCCACTCCACGAAATGCAAGCGACTTCTATTTTGGCTTTAATCGGCCATTTTGGCGCCGAAACGGATACAGCGGAAGGGGTTACAGGGGTGCCACCCCCGTCTCCCCCGCGGACGCGCCGCTTCGTACTACCGATGTTAAAATGCACATAGGTCGGGACGCGCTACCTGAAAGCACCGCTGAGGCATGGTTGTATTAGAGTGCCTTCATGAAGGCTCCCTAGGTTGTATAAAAACTATTAATCGTGCCGCTAAACCTTTCAACCTAAAGATTTTAAAAACATCACGCGCCCATCATTTGGTACTAAAGTCCAATAAATTGCATACAAAAAGAGTCTTTTTCCGTTGGTTTTTACGCAAAAACATGCTTTGTAAAAGCTCAAAGTGACCACAGTACAGACAAATGATAAAGAGTGGCGCTGCTGTCGTATTTAGCTCGGTCTCGGTGGACGCCAGCGGCCCAGGTTTCAACGGCAAGTTTCCCAACCAAAAGTAGAAGAGGCAGGGAAAGAAGTCAGTCAAACTAAAGTCTTTCGATAAAATTCACGCTTACAAGAGCCGCCAACCATTGTGGAAACGGGCAAGACACGTGCCACGAGCGGGTGCTCCGCCGCCACTCGCTTCCAAGGGCCGCTCACCAGCCGCTCACTTCAGTTACAGTGTTCTAGAGAGTTGTAGTGCGGCGGCGTCCACCGCGTGAAGATTTTGCGAGTAGACGACACCGTAGCGCCGCTGTTCTCAGCCCTAGGAACTGTGGCAAGAGACTTGAATAAAGAAGAACGAAGCGCCGGCGACACACGCGCTTCATGTAGCCCAGCGGACATGGCCTCGTCTCGTCCTTCCTAGATATTGCTACAGGAACGTGCCCCCGTCAGCCTCGTCGGCGCTGCTCGGCGTGTACTACTCTGGGGGGGCTATGTTGGCTATGTTGCGCTTTTTGCACTCCCAGGAGACTAGGGAGAGGGAAGTGACGTCAACAATAACGCAGCAAATGCAGATTGGATGTTGATTTTGTTTTCTTCTGTCAACATCCAATCTGCATTTGCTCTAGTCGTTGACGTCACTTCCCTCTTCCAAGTCTCCTGGGAGTGCAAAAAGCGCAACATAGCACCCCTGGTTCGGCTGGAGCTTTTCGCGACACAGAACAAATGCTAATGTGAAAAATTGTAGGTTTTCCTTTGCACTAATGCCTCTAGAGTGTGTGCTATCCTCTACTTTTATTATTCGCGTGTTTTGATTGAGATAATTTGATTAATATCGACCCTCCCCCCTCCCCTCCCCTCCCCCCCTCCCCCCCCCCCCCCAAAGGGGGTTCCCAGTACTGACAGGTCGTTCAGCAACGCTATCACTTCGGCTGCACGCTTTATATATCTGCGAAAGAAACCACGCGATACTGATATAACGAGGAAAAATTGACAAATAAATCTCAATAAATCTCTCACTTTTTTAATGGTGAGAGGAACAATAAACTGGCGTATTGTTTTTTGTCATCGTGTTGCTGATGCGGGAACCAGCGTTGTGTAAGGTGCAAGGCGGAGCGCGTTTGGGAACGGCCATGGTGCCACTGCAACTGGCGAACATACTAACAAATTGTTTTTTTGTGGAAGGCAGTCTATGAAAAAAAATACCTCGATTGGGAGTACATGAAGCATTAAAATACGATATGAACACAAATTTCAACAACCCCTAATATGAAAAAAAAAAAGTATTCTCAACTCACTGCTCTATGACTTCTCAGAAGTGGTAATACACTTTATCGACATACACAGCAAGCACATGACAGATATCCAGCAACATAGTACGCAAAAAGACTACAAAATAGTCGTAATATATTGCATCCTAACTGTGATAGACAGCCAGGTGGCGCCCCCTGCACACCCGGTATATAAAGAGCATGTCGCACGAGATTAAAACAGGCCGTGACTAGGAGTCATGTATGGTGGACATCATTAGATGAAGACATTGCGGCTACAGTGCGGGGATGTCGTGAGTGTCAAGAAAACCAGCGACTCGCACGACGAGCACCAATGATGCCATGGCCATTCCCAGAAAAGCCATGGTCTCGTCTTCATATCGACTTTGCTGGACCAATGAAGAACCGATATCTACTCATCGTGGTCGACGCCTACTCAAAATGAATTGAGGTCGTTCCTGTGTCCACGCCGTCGGCAGAAGCCGCGATCCCTTGCCTGCGGGTGATGTTTGCCTGTCACGGACTACCAGACCTCGTCCGTATCCGATAACGGGCCGGCATTTGTAAGCGGTAGCTTTAAGAACTTCCTTCAACAAAATGGAATAAGGCAGATTCTAACACCACCGTATCACCCAGCGTCAAATGGAGCCGCTGAGCGAGCGGTTCAAACCATAAAGTTGAAGCTGAAGAAGGCAGCTGATGGAAGTTTCCAGTGTCAGCTGGCCCGAACCCTGCTCAACTACAGAACTACACCTCATGAAACCTCGGGGTGCACTCCGGCGGAGTTACTGATGGGCCACAAGTTGAAGACTGCTTTGGCTCTACTTCACCCGGACCTGAGGTCAAGCGTATCGAAAAAACAACTTATCCAGAAGATGGCGCACGACAGGGGTGCTCGACTGATACCAACTGTCCAACCGGGTGATGCCGTTTATGCGAGAAATTTTCGACAAGGTCCACTATGGGTACCGGCAACTGTGACCGACACTCCAAGTGACCACATCACAG